TTATTAGTAACATCCACAGAGACTGACAGCACGAAAAGCAACCACAATTGATGGCAGTAAATTTAAGTGGTTCAGACCAATTTTCTTCCATTGCAATTATAATTGTAGCAGCTGACAGAACAGTCCTATCAATGTATGTGCGCAAAAAAAAATTAGCGGTAATTCATCCAAAACTTGTGAACTGTAAAGCGGCCCTTGAATTTATAAATTATTATATTTGCAGCATTATAATGAATATTTTTACCAACAATAATTGTTGAATGAATGTGTAATCATGATTGAAGACAACAAAATCCGGGCTTGTAATCCGGGGTCGAATGTAACCAGTAGTATCAAACTTTCCATCTCCTACTTCGGCAGGTATCAGTGCGATGACTGCTAGTATGAAAGTTCTATCTCGAAATTAACCTAAATACCACTGATGTTGTCTGCCGCAGTAGCAGACGAAACATTTGGTACTTCAGGTTCCATTCGATCATGGCCTACCAGCCCGGATTTCGCTCTCTTTATTGACTCTGGCCTTGAAGCCTATGTTCTTATGATGTGTATTCATCAATTTGGAAGTTATTCTTTCTTATTTGAAATGAAGAGAATATAATGAACCTTTTTCCTGAAGTACGAAAAATCACTCACTAGCAGCGCTAGTAGTTCGGTAGGGACAAACACTGCCTAATCCTCACATAAACATATGGTAATGTACAATTAAAAAATAATGTTTTTAACAGAAGAAAATGTTCCTGGAGCAAAACTAAAATTTGCAACTGTAAAGGATAACAATGTTATAACATTAAAACGTTGGCTTGCATGCCATAATTNTCAAGTACTTCCTTTTTTATATATACCGTTATTTGGCATATTTGTAATTCAGTTTATAGTAATCATAGTATGTTTATGTCCATTTAGATGACTGTCCATCTATCTATTTATCTATCTAATGTGGCTCATAGGACTGAGTTTATCATCTCTGCCACAAGAAACAGAAACTACCATCATTTGTGCGTAGTGACAAATGAAGATATTTGACTTTCACCAAAAAATCATCTTGTCCATCAATAAAAAAGCCAAGTTCATGTCCTAATGGCACCGACTTGTTTGGTGAAACGCGCGTCAAGAAGAGTGTTGAAGTTCTGTTGTTTGGGAGCATTGCTTGTTTTTAAGCGAATAAGTTGACAATGCATTGATGATCACAAAGACTTCATGGTGTAAGTAAAAAATCTTCACTTGCTGAACTACTATGCACAAAGTAATTGTACTTTTTGTAGCAGATATAATCATAAGAGTATGACTTGGACCTAAGAATCTGTGATTAAATCAAATCATGTTGTGAAAGAAAGTTTCTTTTTTAAGCAATCTAGGTCTGACTTACCAGTGACGTTAGGCAGAGACTGTACGGGCGTGATTACTGACATTGGATCAAAAGTGACACGACTGGAAGTAGGAGATGAAGTTTGGTTGTCAGTTCCTTTTTGGTGCCAGGGCACTTTGTGTCAATCCATGTTGGTTTGTGAAAACAGAGTAGCCAGAAAACCAAAGAATATAGGTTTCGAAGGGGCTTGTAGTCTTCCATATGCTGGCAGCCTAGCCCTGTCAGCTTTAGCAGAGGCTCGAATTGAGGCTTTAAACGCTAGACATAAAAGGTGAGAATTTTTATAACTGTGACCCTAGCGCTCTTGGAACATACCAAGAATAATTATTTATATAAGTCATCAATTTCTACCAATACAAAGTACTATTAAGAAAAATAATTAAATATAACGAATTGTTCATGTTAAATGGTTATACGTGTTCGCTCCTACATATTGAAAATTGTTTCATTAGTGATAATTGAAGAGAGAGATATTTTCTTGATGAGAATTTCTTATTTTGAATAAAGTTAACTGTTTTCAAAATGAAAATTTCTTGTAAGGATCTAATTATTTTTGAAATTTATCAATATGAAACTTGAAGGTTTACTTTATATTCACTTTTCGTGACACAATTTTGAAAGAAGAATCCGCTATTCAATAAAATAATTGTTTTTTTGTAAGAAAAAATTGATCCTTCAGAAAAATTATTAGATCACTAAACTAGATGATTTTATTATACATATTTGTTGTATTTGCTATATTTTTCATCATTCAAACTCAATACATCTCAGAACACAATAGGGGCAGTATTTTATTCAAAAGTTATCAACTGTCTTGTGAGTTCAAATTTGAAAAACAGTCATATAAAGGCTGAGTTGCAAAAACTATAATAATTGAGATTATCATAAATGAATGGCGAGCGATATAAAGTTTGTTAACATTTGTTTCTCTCAAACGGTTTTACCAACTTTCCCAACAAGTGGTGGAATTCGAATTTTTGTGACTGCTTATCAGTTTCATCATCGAATATCTCACCATCTTGTTTCAAATCACTTTCTTAGCTCTTTCCTTTAGAATTCCTTTCCCAAAGTCAGATTAGTCGTCAATGGAGACATCATAAGCCTAAACTTCATCAAAAAGATGCTGAAGGCGTTTGTGTTTCATCTCAAAATCCCTTTGTTGAACAATATATTATACTTTCTGTTGACTCTTTGAAAATATTACTTAAAAAAGTGATTATAACTATATTTGGCGCAAGTCACAAGAGTCGGAACAGAACTGAAGTTAGAAAATTATATGGAATCCTATGTCAAGTATTCTACCACTGAAATATCCAAGAATTCAAATTACCCGGGTCTGTGAGGCTGGGTGCGAGGAAGGTTAAACATTGTAAAGTTTTTGATTTGATACATTTTCTTGATGACATAGCCATAGATGTTTCTTCCCCGCTTGGGGCTTTGTTCACAAGATGGAGCTGTTACTAGTTAAAAATTCATTTCAGCATGGTTTTTCTGCTGTACGAAACGTCCTGTGGTGTCTTGTATAAATTTCTGTCGGTTATAATTCAATATACAGCGTGGTATTAGTATGGGAAATAGTTTTTTCCTTCAGGCATTTACCAGAACCTACGGTAGAGGAAGTTGGGAGAGATGAAATATTCATTTTCTAGCAGTAGAATACTGTTAGTATTGATTTAAAGTATTGATGTAAAGTTAAGAAGCTCTACAATTCCATTCTTTTCTCTTTCAGGGTTTTAGTTCAGGGTGGTTGTACTCCCGTCGGGTGTGTCCTCATACAGCTTCTGAACCACTGGCAAGCAGAAGTTACCGCTACCTGCTACCAGAGGGCTGTTCCCGTTGTAAAAGCGCTAGGAGCTTCCGACATGATAGTCCTTACTGAAATGGACACTCCTAACGAAACTACATTTTCAGAAATCGATCGACTCGAACAAAACAATGCCTATTTGAAGGAGCTTAAAACCAGAGGTGATTTTTTTGACGTGATCATCAAAACAGGTGTGGAATGCGATTTGGATAACCACGACCTAAGTAATTTTCTCAAGACTGATGGTACTATTATATCGACACTTCCTCCTGCCTTGACGTCGGATTCCTATGGAGTATTTCGACGATTATTACTTTCTTTCTACATAAATTTGAAATACAAATTACAGGTAAGTTTGTCTGCGGATCGTCATGCCTCAATGAGTATTAATTATAAAAGATGAAATATAAAAACTATCTTTCAATATCATTAATGTCTCTCAAATCACTGGGTAAGTAGCAACATTTTGCAACCATCGAAAATCAACCATTGTAAACTTAATAATATTACTGGTACTCACCCGACAAGTGCTGTGTGATTCAGAGTTGTATTGAAACTGTTGAGGTATTATTTAAGAACTAAATGACAAAATATTTGGTCTTGGATATGTTCAAAGCTGGATGGTTGGAGTCGTTCTATAATTTTAGTGGATTAATGTCATTATTAATACCCCTCTCGAAGAAAATTATATTTTTTGGCGCCATAGAGTCCTATCATCTAAAAAGACAGTAAACTTTTCTCAGGTATCAATATTCATGATGTCTAACGAAAACAGAATAGATTCCAAAATTAACCCCTGTGGCACACCACATATGATCGATCCTCTTATTAGGTAGCTTAGATGTTCTCACAACCAACCTCAGCTGGTTGACATAGGAGTCCATACAATGGGAAATGTTCTTCAATTTGAGTTATTACAGCAAATGCAAGTTTGAACAAAATAAAGTCGAGTTTAATTCATGAAATTTTCAAATTCACTTTGAAAAGTATTAAAATTCATGTTTCAAATGTTGGGTTTTCATTTTTAAAGGGATTTGTTTCTAATTCACATATTGGCAACAGCGCCTATATCAAGTTGAAATAATTTATACGTAATAATGTGTTTGTTCAAAAAACCTGAGATTTTACATTTAAAGATTGTTTCGATAATTTAAGCAAAAGTGGGTATGGGCGATATTGGGCAAAGATAATCTAACCCAGTGTTGCCATGCTATATAACTCACATATTTTCACTTTACTTAGTCACAGTACCTGTCATTAGCATCACTTCCAGGGCGAGGATTTGAGGAGACCGACCCATCACAAACGGTATATGGGAAGGCGGACGAACGGGGCGTCAGCTCCCATGCGGTTTTTATGGTTTAAAACGTATTGAAAGTGTCAAAATGCACGAAAAAATAGGTACTCCATGAGTACCATATCAAGCACTTTGATAACTTTCTCACTGGTAGAAACTTGGCCAATCAGGATCGGGGAAAAACGGCCTTCGTCGGTTTCATCGAGTACCCAATTTTTATGCCTGTGTTACGTTGTATTCACTGAGAAATTACAGTTTTGAGTAGACTAATTAAAACAGAAAAAACTGTTGAAACAACCAATACAAATACTACAAAAACATCTCGACACAAACACTCTTGTGATAAAATAAACAATTAACATTAAACTCAGATTCGTATGGGGATCTTGCAAATGAATGTTTCAAGTCTTCAATACTCCTGACCGCTCTGGATTGAACGATTCCGTACAGTCTATCTGGTTTAAATCTCGTCTTGTGTTTGTAGATTTTTTGCTGAAAAAATCCTCATTAGTCTACTTTGTAGTACATGTTCAAGAGGTAGCAAAAACGTATGTGACTTTCTAGAACTTCAACTAGCAGTTCCTAATATGACTGATAACCAGGCTGATCAACTGTATTGCCAAATATGCGACAAACTAACTGACTATTTTAAGACAAACAAGTCTAGCTGAGGCACCAGTCAATCTAATAATAACACTGATGATCTTCAAACATGACTCAACCTCTGACGGAAGCACCAAACTCTTACAAAGGTTCGAAACAGATAAACACTTCAATCTAGCAGACCACTATTATAATCTTCATGCAGTCATTGTTCATTGTGGTTCTAGCATTGAATCTGGTCATTATTACGCATTGGTCAAAGAAGAAACGGACTGGTTTAAGTTTGACGATAGTTGTGTCACTAAATATTCTGGCGATGTCTTGAATTTATTGGAGCTTCTGGAGACACCCTACATTCTATTCTATGAAAGAGAGGACATTGGCAGATCAAGATCTTCAGATGAAGTGGTGCTGCAGGTTTTTCCGGGTTTTCCTGCAGCTAAAAAAGCAAATGTGCCACTGGAATCAATCAAGTCGACCCGAGCGCAAATAAATTTTTGTTGCTTCATAAATTCATAATTTGTATTACTTTGAAAAAATTAAATTGAGTCTTCAATAAATATAACTAAATGAGAATGAGTATTTTTTTCACAAATCTAAATGATATCCCTGAAATATACAAACGATTTCCTTTCAATTGTTTTTTTTTACTTTTAGGATTTTCTTGGATTACCAAAGAACGATTTCGATGAAACTCATATGTGCTACGTCACGCTGGATAGATTGACAGAATTTGTAGAAGATGGGTACTTGCAAACCGTTGTAGATAAAATATATCAACCTCATGATATAGAAATAGCCTTGCATCACATACAGAACCCACATTCTATGGGCAGTACTGTCATAACGTTTAGATAACAAAAATGTTGTTTCCATAGCATAAAATCGATAACTAACATTGATAATTGAAAGTGTGGGATTGTGAGGCCTAAGTTTTACAACCAGCAACATGTTTTTTCTCAGAATTACTTAAAAAAGGAATTCAGTTTACAACTCAACAGTAGTGCCATCAAATGCCCAATTTGAGGTCCGAGGATTTGCCAATGGGGGTGTATTAAAGTAATGTATACTTTGATTGGATATTTTGTATGATGGAGGCAGTAATGTATTTCGATCAAGTATCATAATCTTTGTATGTTTACATGTTTCAACTCCTCTGCTTAAGGTAGAATATTTACTTGTATTTGTTTTTATTTCATTCCAACATCACTTTAACAATTATGTGTTTGAGACATACTTCTTGTATAATATTCAAAGAAACGAATCGATTTCACAAATTTTTCAGTAACCATTTCGACAGTGGAAACAACACAGTGACAAAAAGAATTCGGAAAGATAAATTGTGATTATGCTTAAATAGTAATGTTACAGTCAACTCCAGTAACATGTTATTATGAGAATATTGGCAACAGAGCATATTGATTATACTTTCAAATATCCTTGATAGATATCAAAGAAGTTTTGACGTCTATCGAAGACGTTTGAAAATAAAGCAAACCATTTTGTGGAATTGGCCGCGGTGGTAGTGCGCCCGACTCACGATCGGAAGGCCGTGGGTTCGATTCCCGCCTCGACCAGATATTTTTCTCGAGATAATTTATCTGGTTGAAGCTGGGATGATTCTGCAACCGTGTTAGGAATCACACGTTAAAAGTTAAGACCTCGTTAGTTCTTAGCTCGCACAAGTTTCTCAACTTCTGAGAGCTGTCGTTCGTATGGGGGCGACAGCTGATTAACGGAAAAAAGATTTTAAACAGACAGACAGATACAAAAATCTATTACTCTGGGTAAAAGTTGAATTCATAGACAGTGTAATCCTTTTTTGAATATAAAAAACAATTGATGAAAGTCTAAACAATTATTATTGTTTTTAAAGAATCTCACAGAATCACTCCAAATTGAACCGTTTTGTAATATAAAACATATCATTCAGACTCATATATTATAAATAACAAAGGGCTGTAAAAAATTGATTATTGAAGTAAACCTTATTTTTAAAACAAGGACCCCGGACTTGTTGCCGTGTCTTTCTTCATGTCTTTTTACTGGAGTTGGCTGTGGGTATGTTCACAACTTGAGATTTGACCTTGATGTGGCAAGTTCTGGAAATATTCTCAAGTCATTTATTCACTTGTGACCTACTCTGACTTGTAGAATTCCTCATTCATTTTATCAGTAGCAATATATCAAGTATGAAGACAGTAATTTTGATTTTACTAATGGCAATAATTTTTAATGTGATCTGAATTCATTCAATTTATCAAGAATACATTTCTAAATATATTTTAGTGTAAATGTTCATTTCGACCACTCGCGCTAGTTTCTGAAAACAATTTAATTACACAGATTGACAAATTTAGGACAAAAGAATTCTCGAATCCTACAAAGTAAGCATTAGGACAATGGAAACTAGTATCGTTAAGAAGTATAGTACTGGACTACCGATGCAACTGAAAGCTTTCACCCTCTGTGTATTTTTAGTAACCAGGATCATCGAAATTTACATTTGACAAGCTGAACTTAATAATTTTTGTTCACCGATTCCAAATGTAAAATCATAACTTTGTACTCTGGTCTGCTTTTGGCGATATGAACTCAAGTCAAAAATTCAACTAATTCAGGAACTCACTTTCATCAATATAACTCGGTGACACATTTCTTCTTCGGAGATAGAAAGCAAGTGTAATCACAAGTATTCAGTTTCGACAAAACTTTTGTTTCCTTTTGAAGCGGGGAATAACCTTAACTTCATTAGGAAGTTCTAAAATATGAGTATTCCCAATGAAGGTCTGTAGTATGCCATAATGAAAAGAAAGTGTCATTTTATGATTTTTTATTACCAGAAATGAGTTCCTGAACTGAATGACTTTTTAATAGTTTTGTCTTCCAAGTGACTGTATCTCAGAAAGAACAATACAGATTCATTATCGACTGACAAAAAAACAGTCTAATTCAAAACTAGCGCTGGCCGTTGAAACAACAGATACGATTGATAATTATTCTTACGGAATTTCTCTAAAGTTTACTTCGTTAGCCTCATTCTCAGCAAACTGGCCTGGTCCGCTCAGCATAGCCTTTATTGTGCCAGAAGTTAAAGCGTGTTCTCGTTTGACGATAAATTCGTGTCCATCAGATGATATCAGCTTTACGTACATGGCATCTGGACCCTCGCATCCTCCATATACCCTTTCTTGTGTTTTTTCTTCTGTGATGTCAGTCATATTGATTTCTAAAAATATTTTTTGTATTTCTGGCTACAATTTCAAGGTCGTTACAAAGCAACAACTCCTTATATTTAGTAAACGGTATATTGAGTAAAATAAGGGGAAAATAAGAAAAAATATTCATAAATATAAAACTCACCTTTTTCGAAGCAATCTACTGACAACAGTTAAAGAACGACGTCAAATGTCGAATTCTTCCTCTTCGTCTTCCTCATATAAGGTATAAATAATTATGAGTTCTGTACAAATGCTTCGCAAATCCGAATGAACCATTTCCACGAGGTGGCAGTGTAAACTTGGGTCCAGAGATAGAAAGCAATTAAAATTTCTTTCGTAACCTCACGAATATGTTCTACGTTAAAAATAATGGATGAAAGATTCCAAATATTTCCAGAAATCATCTCATTAAAGATATGATCTAAAATATAAACTTGGGGTGGATTTTATATTTGACTCGAAATTGTTCCAAAATTTTGTTGCAATACAAAAATAACAAGACTGTCAGAGAAATATCTAAACGAGGAGAATGGAAAGTCGAAATCATAAGGCGTCATAAGGCAACAAAAATTTCTGATTGATTCTTCAACTAATAGAAACACGCGAATGGACCAATAGATGAATTCATCGAACCAATCGGTATATATATATATATATATATATATATATATGCCTGCAATTGAGTTCTCAATTGTACAGCCTCATTTTGTTCAGGTGTCCTATCAATAATCATTGTCTACAGCTCAACCATTTCGCAGGTAAGGATATAGACGATACATGAATTCTTTACACTTTGACTTGATCTTTATAATGGACTGACTACCCGCAAGGATCTCACACAATACCTTGTTCTACACCAAAAGGTTCAAAACACAAACTACCAACTTTGACATATTTTTAATATCCTTTGACATCTGACAAAATAAATTGAATGTTTAGAGAAGAACCACTTTTTTTGAGAGAATTTAGTTGAAGGTGAATTGACTATAATACATCACATGACTAACATGAATAGTCATGCCCCTGGTGGTTCAGGAAGCAATAAATAAAAATAGCCTGCCCACAAAACTAGGTTAATGACCTCAGTAATCATTATTTCAGACACCAAAAACAAGAGAAGCAAGTTATAGTAGAATTGTTTTGAAGACAGAACTGATTAAAATATTTTTCAAATGACAAGTTATGTTATTTTAGAGAAAATTATTGAATTCACACAGTAACTTATGAACCAGACATTTGCTTTATGAAGTTCCTCATTACAAATTTTATTTCATCCAGACTAAAGACTGTGACAATTCACAAAAATGAGTCTGTAAAACCTTGGCCCAATAAACTCAATGTTAACAAGACTTTAAGTATATGAATACGATTGAAAAACATTCTACTGAAAGGAAATTGTATTTTGAAATAACCAACTAGACGAAAGAAATGAGTAATCTATTTATCGGCAAGAAGAGGAAGAAGGATATTTAAACAAAATGTAAGTTTAATGGAGTGATTCCACTTAACAAATATCAAGGTGTTCGGCTGAACCTAAAAATGCCAATCAAACCATCTGAACATCAGAGAATATTTTAATGTAGTAAATATTACAAAGTCACTGTTTCAAAAAAAGAAACAATATTCGAGTTATCTAAAATAAATTTTGCACTGACTGGGTAACCCAAAATCAAAACAATGTATAGGTTGGCATATTCAAAGAAAAACAGTATATAAAATTTTATATTGCAGTTATACATCAAATAGTTGAAACAAATGATTTGTTCTATATAGGTTCAAGTAGCAGAATCAACAGCAAAATGTCTAAAAATGATCATTCAAAAAATAAAACCTGTATGGATTTTTTGTACAGCAATCTCAAAGCTCTGTTCTCTTGATCTTATCTAGTCAGTGTAATAAATAAGTCTAGACAACTAAAATCAACCTAACAATCTAAAAAGTTGGCAGCCATCAACAATTCTAATGCGATTTCTGGAGCTATTGGAAATTCTGGTATCTCAGTCGAACTATTTGTATAACGGACCTTGTAGGTAAAATACATACAGACTTTCTGAAGAACGTGCGATCTGAAAAAAAATCAACAGTGAAGCATAAATTCTAGTGACGTGTAAATGTTCATTTCGACCACTCGCGCTAGTTTCTGAAAACAATTTAATTACACAGATTGACAAATTTAGGACAAAAGAATTCTCGAATCCTACAAAGTAAGCATTAGGACAATGGAAACTAGTATCGTTAAGAAGTATAGTACTGGACTACCGATGCAACTTAAAGCTTTCACCCTCTGTGNATATATATATATACATATTATTCAAAAAGATTAGGATTGTAAAATCGGAACCCAATCTAAGGCAATTTAAATACACCCCAGAATACTCTCCGATCTTTTACTAAGTACTAACATTGTATATATACTAACTATATAGACTATATACTATATAGTCTAGATAATTTTGTATAACCACTAACTTTATTGCACATCTGATTAGTTGCTTCTCTATGAATTACCTTATTCAATTATTTATCAAACTGTAGAGTAGTATAGTACGGAATTTTATATTTAGAATGAATAAAAATTGGCTGGATAGAAACCAAACTCGGAAGCATGCTCAGGAATTATTCACAATTTGGAGGACTTGAATTTTTTTAGATTGTTTATGTTGATGTGCAGAAAATTCGTTATTTCCTTACATTCCTCAAATCTAAGGATATTTTTTCATCTGGCAATACTGGGAAAAAAGAACAAATGACATGACATGTTAATATTAACCCATAAAAAAGTAGCTTTTTATGTGTTGACATTGTTAACCTTACTTTTCGGGATCAGCACCACAGACCACAGGTTACTCTAAAATTTTGATTAAATGTTTCAGTTCATTAGGCCTCTCCAGTATCATCGTTTGAAATTGTATCTAAACATTGATCCAAGATCTGAACATGATCTGAAATCTATTTTAAAAACAATTAAATTAAAGAAGATTATGTAATTTGAATCATAGTCTTTCAATCTACCATGGATGAAATGATCTTCAGAATTGGGCAGCGACTGGAGAATTTACAGGTAGACAATAGAAATTTATCCTATAGGCACTAAACAAAAAAACAATGAAAACTGTGGAAATGGGTAAACCATCATTGTTGCTTCTCTCAGATACAAATATATCATTTGAATAAAGTATCTCCCCCAACAGATAGTGAATTACACAGAAAATTACTTTTTCCTTTATAAATTATTACACCAACATTTTCAAAGGAAATTTCAGAGAAATAGAAGCTGTACACAATATAATTATTATTGTTTAATAGGCAACCTGATATACAAACATGATGAAAAACAAAAATAAATTTGAAAAAATATTTCTTATTACCTACCAACAGCACATACCTAATGGATTTTTTATCTTTGTATATGTTCTGGTATATGAACCCAGTGAATTTCATATTCACTGTTTCTCACTCATGTTTCAAATTAAAAATTCTTCAAATTTTTTGAGAGATGTAACATGTTTAAGTTTCATGAGGAAGATGATTATATTTTAATAATTCCTTATATGAAGTTCACAGCTCTGTAACATAGGTATAAATTGGCTTTACTTCTGGTTGGAAATTTGAGTAATTTGGAAGACATAAATTTGTTAAAATACGTAGCATCACAGGCTCTAGAGCTAAAACACAATTTCTGTTAAACAATGAAAGTACACTGAAGAAGTAGTCAAATTGGGCTTGTATTATAGTTGTATAAATGATTATTAAAGTTTATAGTTAGAATCCTGCTGATTCTAGTGTTTAAAAAAATTCCAGTAATTTTATTGTACATATATTGGAAATGCCTTTTGAGTATCAATCATCTGCACATCTAATTGTTATAGAATTTGTATCATTCTGTAAGGTATTGATATATTTATCTCTAGAGTCTATTAATGCTAAGGCAATGATAAATAAAATTAATATAATTTCCCAAAACTTCAAATCGAATCAATCATCATTGAGTTCTTTTGGAGCTAGGTTAGTTTTAATGGAATTGGCATTATTTTTACCCCTAATATCATTCACTACAGCCCAGTTTTCTTTTTGTTTTATTATTGGCTGTTCTGATTCTCTCTGTGTTATATGTATCTTTAGCCCTTTTGAAAATTTGCCTATAAATATTCTTATATTTATTAAAGTATGTTAAGAAATATATATATTATCGGTATACTTCCTAATTGTATGTCATTATTTTAAATTTTTTCCTGAATTTTTTATATTAGTTGTATCCATTATTTCTTGTTTTTTTATTTTCAGTTTATACACAGGAAAAGATCTTTCAAAAATGTCTATCATAGTATTATGAAAAACAAGTAATGGTTCTTCATCATCTAGCATACTATTCCAGTTGATTATTTCACAACATTCTCTGAATTTATTGTAGTTCTTTCTGCTATAAATTCTACCAAATCTATGATCACAAGAGTGTTTGATTTTCATAAGTACTTTCAAAATAAAGCCTCGTGGTCTGAAAGACAGGAGGAAATAACCGAACAGAGAACATTCGCTTCATCTAAATTTGAGTAGGCATATTCAATAGTAGTGGATGAATGTTGCGAAATTCTGGTAGGCTCCGTTACATGCATTTTTATATTAAATGATGAAAATAGATTAGTCAAAGCTTATGTCACTGCTGATTCCTTATCTTCAAAGTTAATATTCAGGTCACCAGCTACAAAGATATGTGCGTGAATGGGTGTTTCAGAAAGGAGAGTTTCTAGTCGAAGGCACTTGAGTTAATGTTCTGTTAGCTGAATGAAACGGTGTTGCTTTTGGTTCACTGTAGCCTAATTAATAGTTTTCTCAAACCATTTCAAGTTAATGCCAGTTGTATCAAAATGTTCCAGTAAAGATTAAATGGATATAAAATTGTACTGACATAAAAATTATCATATTCATATACAGATTTGTTTTCATCAGTGTCAGATATTTGAAAAGTATAAAAAAATTCAGGATGAATATTCGTTCAAACTATCCCATATACCTATGTACATTTTTTCTATGAATGACAACTCTACTGATTCTCTTAACGAACATTTGAACAAAGAAAAAGCGATTTTCAACTGTGGTTCAGGTTGTTTCTTCCTTTTGTGTCTGAGAGGAATATCTGTGGAAAATCTACACATTTTCCCAGAGGTTTAATTTTTTTCAAATTTTTCAAGAAGTTCACAACTTTTTGCATACTATTTAATGAAGAAGTAGAAAACCTAAAGCACTTGGATATTTCAGATCAAAACCCTCCTGGTCCTTGCAAGAGCTAAAGAATCAATAGTTATACTTACTGAGAGGGGAAATTTAATTTTCTTGGAATTGTGGAATAACCCGACTTTTGTAGATGCCAAAACGAATATGCATTCAGGTGTATTGAAACTGATATCATCAGCGAAGGAGATAAAACTCAAAATAGTGTCATTTGCCAATCCTAGGCAAATGTATATCGCTTTCATTAATGTTTTTGGGAAAAAATGTAAGTCGAGGCAAAAGTTGTTATTTGTCTACATACCCTTTATTATTATTGAAAAATTATATCACTTATCAGGACCTTTTTGAATAATTTTGAAAGACAAAACATTCATTTATTGCAAAAACTAATAGCTCCTAGAAGTATCTCCTTTTCAATTCAATTCACACGGCAGTCAATTCAAGTGAGCGAACAAAGCACCCACGTCGAACCGACCGGCTACCGACCGGTAGAAATGAAATTTCTATGGCTGACATTATAATAACCATATGAATGTTTTTACAAACTGTCATTGTTACAAAACCAGAAATGTCTCTTCTGGTAACGTAAAGTCATAATTATCAGCAAGATATGAACTTTTTGTCTCTTAAGGTTATCCAAAAAGGTGCTGATGAGCTGACACAAGGATCCATACACATACCTTCTAAAGGTCCACTTGGGGTTGATAGTTCTCCATGTAAGTGAAATTTGTTATCAATACTCTTTTATTATGTAGTGTAAGATTTCTGTGAATGACATCTTTTCCAATTCTAGCTATAAGAATTTTGCATCAAAAGAGACATTTGTGGAAGTGCTTTTTTGTGGTAAAAGTTGATGAAAAATTTTTTCTGGACGAAATTTTGCGTATAGGTCTTATATTTATAGGAAATATGAAGTCTGAATCATGTTTCTTTCAACTCGGTAGAACGATATTTTCAAGAGTAAAAAAAAATGGAAGAAACTGGAAGAATAGAATATTTTCTGATAATTTCTTTTAAAAATGTTGAGAATATTATGTGACAACTAAAAAGAGACTCATTTTTATTTATTTTTACAATCAAAAACCAATTGATAAGTCTATTTGACTTCGCTAGATCACAGATCATTAGATAACTTTACGGCTGATTGTTTTATTTGCTACCTCAGACTACATTGAATATCCTATGTATATTCAATTTATCATCAATTCAGGTAGAAATATCCTTGGTTGAGAAATATAGATGTCCATAAGATATTACACAGTGAACTTTGGATGCATATCCTGAGGACATCCATGAGATATCAAAAAAATTAAACTTACTACTAATATAGTTCACTGTGATATATCTTGACAATTTGATTTCTGAGAGATAAAAGTTGAATGATATTTCCGATATTTTAATTTCTTGCTCAAGCTGAAACACTAATCTCATTGTGAAAGTGATCATAGATACAAACGGAAATAAAAATATAGTTTTTTCAAGGGACAACAAGAGACATTTGTTTTGCATGTTCCGGCCTATTGATAGGTGGAATTATAGGCCTCACTATAGGAGTCAACTTACGAAAAAGGCAACCAGTATTAAGATATATGCAAGCTATCCAGTGCAGTAACTATCTAGGACCAGAGGTAGAAAAGCTTTAGTTTGCACTGTATTGCTTTAAATAATTTGTAGTCTGTAACCATTGCAGAAGATGCATTTGCCCCTTACGAGTGTACCGATTATGACGTCTTGGTCAATGTTAAAGCCGCCTCAGTACAGGTTATTGATTTGCAGATTTGTAGTGGATACGGAAGAACATTGCGAAGAATTTTGCAGGTAATGATAATATTTATTTCATTTGTTGAAAAGTAAGTAATTCTACAGAAATAATCTCATACAATAATAACAAGAAACACTAAGTACATATACAAACACTTATAAACGGGAACATATACATATGAACAGTTTTAATAATACTATTAAATAATTGAAATGCATCAACAGTGTTTCCATTCATGATTTGAATATTGAAATATCAGAACTATCTATATTTATGTCAATCTTGCCAAATCATTCAAAACAAGTCCTTTTTTTAATCACCAGAACTGCAATACTCTTCTCGACGCGCGTTTTACCAATCAAAATGGCGTCTTCAGTTGATGAAAAAAACCAATTCTCAACTCTTAAACGGCACATTTCACAAACTACACCTGACGATTTGATCTTCACAAACTTCATTTTCAAAAAAGATCGCGACATGTTTCGCTATCACAGTAGTTTTTTCATAGTCGTCGTGTATATATTCACGACCCGCTTGCAAATAGTCGTCCAATGCTTAATGATAATTTTGACTACTCTGTAAGCATTTCTGAATAGCAAATTTCTGAAGCAAATAATGATATAAACATACGGAAGTGTCCTGGTTCAGATGGCATACCATGATGGCATACGGATATTTAAAAAAAAATGTAAAGAAAACTTGATACTACCCCTTTTTCACATCTATAATTTATCTCTACAGACAGGAAGATTTCCTAGTAAGTGGAAATCTTCNTTGCTTTATGAAGTTCCTCATTAGCGTCAGTCCATTCAACCTACTGTGTAGGTATATCGAGACTGGCTTGAACGTTTTAAGTTCATTTTATTAGATTTGTTTACTGCCAGTCATCAAGCATAGCCCACTGACTAATAAGAAAGTTGAACAAGGCTATTTGAACTTAGAGCCGAGTTACAAATGTTTCTTTCAGATACTTCTTTTAATTTGAAAGACCGTTTATATGATGAAACTTGATTGTTCTGACTGTCGTTTATTGTGGATATCTTTAAAAAACTGAAAATTAAATTTATCAATGCAAGGTAAATAGACAATAGTTTTCCAGGCCTGTAACAAAGTAACTGCCTTCATAAGAAATGGATCTTCACTTCCCGATACACATCAATGATTTCAGGTAGAAATTTACTGAAAGTGAACGTGTACCATGTTGAGATAGGAATAGAAACCGTTTAAGAGTTCGGAATTGGTTTTTTCATTTCTCGAAGACGCCAACTGGGTTGGTAAAACCAGTGTCGAGAATATTCCCAGTTCCCTAAAAACAATTTCTACACGCCTTCCGCCAACCCAGCTGTAAAATTATTTCAACAGCATACCTATAAGCTATGAAAATCCTCTCTTCAGTAGAAGTCATCTTAGTTCAGGATTCTGTATAGAAGAAAACAACAAATAGTGTTACAGAGTTAAAAACATTATTTTACTAAAGTGATTTGAAATAATTCTTAATGCTTAACAGTTTTTTCTAAGGATATGAGGGCTCCGAGTAATTCTAGTCAGGGATGGGATTGAGCATATATGTAGCTCAAGCATATTTGTAAGTGCTGTGTAAAGTTTTCCAAATATTTTTTTGTTTGTTCTGTTAATCTCAAGATCAAATTTTTGATATTATTTTGCTACAGTCTATTTTATCAACTTGTTCGAATATTCTTC